ACTGCGCGACCATCCGAGCCCCCAGTAGCTACATGTGTTGTTGCGGCGGACCTCTGAGGGCCCCAAGCCCGGTTAGGAAGACAGACTGCAAGACAATCCCTTCCATCGAGTGTTGTTAAGTTCTGTTTTTTAGAAAGGTCTGTTGTATCTGGCGCTGCAGCAACCGCTGCAGCGGCGTCTCCAGCAGACGAGAGGGTTGCTGCTCGCCACCACATGCATCCCGGTCCCAGGCTGCAATGCCCGTTTGGTTACCCCTCCACTGCTGTATTTCATTGAAGTAGAAACGGGTGTTCCTGCCTATCGCGCGGCGCAGTCCGTCCTGGCTGCCAGATGGGCAGGGCGGGTATCCACCAATCGCAGCATTCTCGTTCATTCTATCTCCAACAGCAGCACGCAGCCGCATCAACAGTTTCCCACGCCTTGCTGTAGTTGCATTGAAACAGGTTAACCTGTCAGAGTGGCTTCATTGTGGCAACAGACACCGCTGCAGCAGCCCTGTTGTCTGCAACACTGTCACTGAGCGACAGACGCCACCTGTTGAGGCCCGTAACGACAACACACAGCCGAACACCCAGGTAACACAAGCTACGCTGTTGAACAGTTGTTCCTTCTGTTCTGGCGTTGCCGGTGCTTCAGCGGGTTTGGGCGCTGATACTTGGCGCTTTCGCTGCGCATTCCAGGCAACTGTTGCTCGGGTGTTGAGGCTCCAGCGTTGCCGGTCTTCAAAAAGCGCAGCATGGGTCAGACCACCTCAGCTACGGCCCCCGAGAAGAAGCAGCACCAGCAGCAGATGCCGCGAACTTTCGGGCCAGAAGAAGACCTCCCCTGCGCCACGGAGCTCGTGAGCGCTCTTCTACTGTATATGAGCACCTGTTCTGTGTAGCCGCTTCTCCTGACAGTGCTCCAGCAGTGATGCGGCGTAGGGATATGTCTTCTCGAACAGTGGACTCCTTGTGTGTGTATGTTTTTTTGTGCGACGCAGGCCGCCTATCTGCAGTGTTTGCGCCAGTCCGTTGCCCCACAGAGAATTCACTTCTGAAAAACCCTTATCCTAGATATCAAGTATTGCTATTTATAGTTGCTGTTCTCTGCTCCTGCGCATGATCTGTTGTCTGCAGATACAGCGGCTCTCTGGAGAGGATGCTGCAGGACTGCGACGGCCGCAGGTGGAACTACAGGTGACCACACAGCCCACGCGGTCCCATTGACTTCTGGGCAGTCAGTGGAGTGTTGTCCTCTACCTCCCTTCTGCTGAATTGGGGCTGCCTCTCCAGCCTGGCTTTGCCTCTCTGGTGCCTTGC